CAATGTTGGAATTGGACAATATGGGAATTAGACAATGTGGGAATTACATAGCGTGGGAAGTAGACAATGTGATAATTGTACAACCTACTAATTAAGAATGTGAAAATTGACAAATAACTCTACCTTCACTCCCGAACCCTCCTCCAAAAGCTCCTCCAACCTCCTCCCACTTCCAAATCCCCCAAAACTACAATAAAAACTTGACATTTCAAGAATAAACAAGAACTAACAACCAAGAAATCACGAATAAAAATTGTAAAAAGAAAAATAGCGAATGATGTTTCGTTGTTCGTAAGAGTACCGTATAATGGCCGCGTTGAAGAAGCTCGCTAGAGGAAACTCGTGGTCGTGAAAAAGTAATAAATTTACCGGCACGTTCCTTCGGCCGTTGCTTTCATTCCGCTCGCAATTTCGCCGGCCGAAATTATAATATGGCGAGCTCCACAGTGAATACACGAGGGTCGTCTGAAACGAAGTTATAAATGGTCGCAAACGCGGATGGGAAGTTATAATACAACGGAGATATGACTCCGCGTATTATGCCGGCAAGGTTGTTTGAAAACTGTGCTATTTGAACAAGAAACATCGCGGCTTGAAACACCTAGTGAAGATGTTTAGCTTCCTGTCTGGATCTTGGGGAACACGGACATATTTCATATACGTTGAATCACTTGTGTTTCTATCATTTCTTTTTAAGCTTCTTCGTGTACTGTTCTTTCTTATGCGATCAATTTTTTATTCTGTTTTATAGTTGGATGAATTGTACTAAATTAATAATTGGTTTTATATTAATTTGTATTTGCAAAAATATTTTATATTTATATTGTTTGAAAAAATTTGTTTGGTTGTGAAAATGTAGGGAGTTGATATAGGTAGAGGAATTTTAATTTTCTGTTTTATGTTGATTGTAGGAATTGATGTAATAAATAGTGCTCGGGGTTTTGTAATGCAACTGAATATTAAGTACAGGTAATTTTTAGATTTTGAGTTATTAAATTTGCAAATTTCTACATTTTCAATTATTGAAATTGCAAATTTCTAAATTTTTAAATGTTTCATTTTATGAAATTTTTAAATCTCTCTATGTGCAATTTTTCTTTGAACTGATATAATAGAATTAATATTCAAATTTATACATAATTAATAAAAATATAAAAATATTCATGGATTGAAATTAAAGTGAAAATTAATTATTCAGTGAATGATTAGAAATGATCGATACTAATCACGAACTAGAAGTCATTTATTACTACCGATGCATCACAATAAGGATCGATTGATTAATGGTTACAATTATCATATTTGAATGATCAATTACAAAAGTAATTGATATACTATTCAAATCTGTCAGGTGGTCTCGCAAAGTTCAAAAGAAATCTTGATGGATGTAATTGACAATGAATCATATAATTTCTAATGAGAAAAATTATTATTTAAAAAGAAACAGTTTTGAACGAAATTTTTAAGTAACAGGGAATTTTAGAAATTCTAAAAACTTTAGAAATTGCTAAATTCTTCTTCCAAATTTCCAATTTTCCAATTTTCCAATTTACCAAATTATCCGATTTTCCAATTTTCCAATTTTCCAATTTTCCAAATTTCCAATTTTCCAAATTTCCAATTTTCCAATTTTCCAATTTTCCAATTTTCCAATTTTCCAAATTTCCAATTTTCCAAAGCTTCAATTTTCCAATTTTCCAATTTACCAAATTTTACATTTTTTCAATTTTCCAAATTTCCAATTTTCCAAATTTCCAAATTTCCAAATTTCCAAATTTCCAAATTTCCAATTTTCCAAATTTCCAATTTTCCAAATTTCCAATTTTCCAAATTTTCACCAAATTTCCAAATTTCCAAATTTCCAATTTTCCAATTTTCCAAATTTCCAAATTTCCAAATTTCCAAATCTCCAAATTTCTTACTTCCAAATTTCCAAATCCCCAAATTTTGTGTCTTCCAAATCCCCAAATCGCTAAATCTCTAAATTTTCTATCTTCTATATCCCCAAATCCCTAAATCGCCAAATCCCCAAATCCCCAAATCCTTAAATCCCCAAATCCTTAAATCTCCAAATCCCCTAATCCCCAAATTCCCAAATTCCCAAACTCCCAAATCCTCAAATCCCCAAATCCCTAAATCCCTAAATCCCCAAATCCCTAGATCCCCAAATCCCCAAATCCCCAAATCTCAAATCCCCAAATCCCCAAATCTCCAAATCTCCAAATCTCCAAATCCCCAAATTCCCAAATTTTCAATCTCCCAAATCCCCAAATCCCAAAATTCAAAACACCAAAATTTCCACCTTCCAAAGTCTCCAAACTCAAAACTCCAACCTTCCCCACCTCAAAAACATACCCTAATTTCTCCCACTAAAAACATAATTCCCAAATTCCCAAATTACCATCTCCAACACCTATTATCCACAATTTCACAATATAATTTCGCTAAAAGCAAGGCGTCATCAGTTCATGTATCCTGCAATATACAGAACGGTTAACAAGCTCCCGATTAATCGGACTCCCACAACAAATACGTTCGAAAAAGCGAGCAAAATGGTGCAACGAAATATATTACTCCGATAATACACCGGCGGTACAATGAACTACTGCTCGTACAATGGACGTTCCGTTAATCGAAATTCTACCGTGGCTTCGACTTTCATATTTCTTTGTCCCTCAGACAATAACTCTTTCCTAGTTTCGAAATTTATGTAGCAGTATTTCCGATGATTAAAGCAGCCCTTCAAATACCCTCTGTTTGGGTAATTGAAAAATTTCGTTTTATTAAAAACGATGTTTCTTAGAAAATGGCAAAATCATTTCAAAATGGAGTATTGGGTGAAGGTTTTATTTTAATTAAATTGGAGAGTTCTGAGAAGGGATGTTTTTCTTATTCTTGAAATTTTAGAGGGAGTTTGTGGTTAGAATTGTTTAGAAATTGCGTTTGTTATTGGGAGATTTGTTTAGAAAATTAAGGAGATGTTTATATAATTTAATTTTGTGGAAAGTAGTTTATAAATGATGTTCGTTATAAAATTATTGTAGAGTTAGTGAATTTTAATCATTTTAAATTGGAAGAAATACAAGATTTTACTATGAAATGTCTTTTTGATGTGACTGTCTGAAATTAGTTAGGTTAGGTTATGTTTTCATTAGACACTTTGAGGTTAAGTTCGATAAAAATTTCTTTACAACGAACACAAACACTTAGTTGAATAATCAGTCACACAAAAATAAATGTCTAAACAGATATTTTTTGTTAACACTCATAGTTACTCGTCCACTTAAATAATTATGCTTCTACTACAAATTATGCACCTAACCTAAAAGTTACATGAAAAGATATTCTTCAAAGAGAAGTGTGTCAAAGCAGTGTATCAAAACGATACTTCAAAACGAAAATTAATTTATACAAGCACTTAAAGTGCAATTAAAGAGTAGTTTATTAAACCTAACCTAACTTATCCAAAGTTAAATATTTTTTTACTCAAATGTCAAGCCGTCCTACTTCTCTTCAAACAAATTGAAATAAATTTTATAATCAACCAGATATCGAAAATGAAAATATAGCTCAAAGGCACGTTCGAAAATGTACAAAAAGCCAATCAAACACTCGTTTCCATTTATACGGGAAACATTTGATCAAATTAAATCAAAAGCAGCCCACTTGACCGGAAATGGCGGATGAACTATACTGGGTTTTAATACGAAATATAAATACAGTATGTCGTGACACTGTGGTTGAAATTAAAATATTTTGAGCCATCGAAAATCTTAAAAAATCTAATTTATAAAATTTTTAATCATATTTTTATATTTTTGTCAAATTTTATTTTTTAATGTTTTTTTTAACCTCTTCAAATATTTTATTTTTATATTTTCGTGTGAAAATTGCTTTTCGAGAATTTTCCTGTATTTTTTAACCACTGCAACATTTTAATTTTAGCAATCAAGCTTTATTTTTATATTTTTCTTAAAAATTGCATTTCATAAATTTTTCTGTATTTTTTAATTTACTCAAACATTCTAATTTTTCCAATTGTACTTTATTTTTATATTTCCTGTATTTTTTAATCTGTTCAAACGAAAGAACATTCTGATTTTAGCAATCAAGCTTCATTTTCATATTTTTCTTAAAAATTGCATTTTATAAACTTTCAGTATTTTTTAATTTTCTCAAACACTAATTTTTCCAACTGTATTTTATTTTTATATTTCTTGTATTTTTTAACTTCTTCAAACGAAAGAACATTCTAATTTTAGCAATCAAGCTTCATTTTCATATTTTTCTTAAAAATTGCATTTCATAAATTTTTCTGTATTTTTTAATTTTCTCAAACATTCTAATTTTTCCAGTCTTATTTAATTTTTATATTTCTGTGTAAAAATTGCATTTTGCAAATTGTATTTTCTTGTACTTTTTAACCTCTTCAAACGAAAAAACATTTTAATTTTTCCAATCACATTCCATTTTTATATTTTTGCATGAAAATTGCATTTTGTAAATTATATTTTCTTGAATCTTTTAACCTCTTCAAAAAAGTAACCTCTTCCAAAAAACATTTTAATTTTATCAATCAAATTTCATTTTTATATTCTTGCATCAAAATTGTATTTCATAAATTTTTCAATATATTTTAACTTCCTCAAACATTCTAATTTTTCCAATCACATTTCATTTTTATATTTTTGCATGAAAATTGCATTTTGTAAATTATATTTTCTTGTATCTTTAAACCTCTTCAAAAAAGTAACCTCTTTCAAAAAACATTTTAATTTTATCAATCAAATTTCATTTTTATATTCTTGCATCAAGATTATATTTTTCAAAATTGTATTTATTTATTCATATTACCAAAATACTATTCTGTAAATTTGTGCAATTTCAACCAAAACGCATTACGTATAGTCCGCCTTGTACACAAAATGGCGTCTAAAACGTGTTAAGCCGGTAAAGTTCATCCTCTCCATACACGAAACTGACGGTGTGATCGAAATCAGGTGTGCGTGTTCGTGACGAATCCATCATACTCAGTGATAAGTTCATCAGTTTCATTTTGGATCCCCGGTTTCGTGATGATCGTGATGTACTGCAAGATCTACAAGGAGGCTGTTCGTCAAAGGGAGGCTCTTAGCCGTGCATCCAGTAATACCGTCCTAAATAGTGTTCACTTGCATCGTGCATCCACGTCGAGGCATCATTCTAGGGCCTCCCATCAATTATTATTACACCCGAGCGACGCCAGCGACTTCGGGAGACCTATTTCTTATAGGACCGCCGCGGAGCTCAATGCGGAGAACGGTGAGTACAAAATGGAGGATTTTTAAGGGAAAATGGAGAGATTTAAATCACCTACCGATTGATATCTGTACTTACTGAATTAAATTAAAGGTATCGATATGTAGCTTCTTGAACAAGAATTTATTCGTTGATATTTAAGGAAAATTTCACTATTTGTTATTTTATGGTATATCGATACTAAGGTATCTTACTATATTGCAAAATTATATTTTTACTTAAAATTGATTGTACGAGAAATGTGTCTGATACAAAAGTACTCATCCATGTTTCTCAATTCTTCTCACATTGTTCACATTGTTTACCAAAAACACAAGGATTGTCACAGAATGTTAACAAGTAGGAAGTTTCCGTATTTTCTCGAGAACCGTGTCGCCAAATATCTTTGGCTGATGTATTGTTGCAATCGTTTGCACACGTCCACCTCGAGTTCTGGAGGTTTCCGTATTTTTAGATCGTCTCTTAAAAGCGTGTTCTACCGAAACATTTATTCGATGGACACTTGGAAATCATGAAGAAAACAAGTGATTTTTCAACGACCGAAATCATTTTACAAATCGCGTCATCTCTGAATATTATTTTTGGGTGATATTTTCTGGGTAAATTTTAATGTTGCATTTTTTAAATTAAAATACTATGAAATTCGACAATTGTTTAGTAAAATATTCATTGGGTGTTGTCATACTTTTTTATTGTTATACAAGTATGTGACAGCTGTTGAATATTACAAACTCTCGCTATATCGCCATTTTCTTATACTGTTTATAGTCTCACCATTCACCTTTAAAACAAGCTATCTAAAAATCTAAGAATAATTTCTGTATCAACAATCACAATAATATGTGGCAATTCTCGAATATTATAAACTCTCCTTATATCGCCATTTCCTTATACTGCCCATCACATCACTATTCACTCTTAAAACAAGCTATCTAAAAATCTAAGAATAATTTCTGTATCAACAATCACAATAATATGTGGCAATTCTCGAATATTATAAACTCTCCTTATATCGCCATTTCCCTATACTGTCCATACCATCACAATTCACCCTTAAAACAAGCTACCTAAAAATCTAAGAATAATTTCTGTATCAACATTTACAATAACATGTGACAACTCTCGAATATTACAAACTCTAGCTATATTGCCATTTCCCTATAGTGCCCATTCCTTGACCATACACCCTTAGAGAAAGTTACCTAAAAGTCTAAGAATAATTTCTGTATTAACAATCACAATAATATGTGACAACTCTTGAATATTATAAACTCTCCTTATATCGCCATTTCCTTATACTGCCCATCACATCACCATTCACTCTTAAAACAAGCTACCTAAAAATCCAAAAATAATTTCTGTATCAACAATCACAATAACATATGACAACTCTCGAATATTATAAACTCTCCTTATATCGCCATTTCCTTATACTGCCCATCACATCACCATTCACTCTTAAAACAAGCTACCTAAAAATCCAAGAATAATTTCTGTATCAACAATCACAATAACGTGTGACAATACAATAACGTGTGGCTACTCTCGAATATCACAATCTCTCGCTATATCGCCATTTTCCTATGCTGTTCATTCTATCACCATACACCCTTAAAACAAGCTATCTAAAAATCCAAGAATAATTTCTGTATCAACAATCACAATAACGTGTAACAATTCTCGAATATTATAAACTCTCCTTATATCGCCATTTTCCTATACTGTCCATCCCATCACCAATCACCTTTAAAACAAGCTACCTAAAAATCCAAAAATAATTTCTGTATCAACAATCACAATAACGTGTGGCTACTCTCGAATATCACAATCTCTCGCTATATCGCCATTTTCCTATGCTGTTCATTCTATCACCATACACCCTTAAAACAAGCTATCTAAAAATCTAAGAATAATTTCTGTATCAACAATCATAACATGTGACAAATTTCGAATATCACAATCTTTCGCTATATCGCCGTTTCCCTATACTGTCCATACACTATTAAAAAAGTACCTAAAAATCTAATAATAATATCTGTATTTAAGACATCAATAACTCAGTCCTCCAAACTCAATTTAAAAGAGCTTAAACGCAAAAATAGAAACACGAAAAGCAATCGTTATAAAGATCGAAATTACCGAAGGCATCGATTTCAGTAATGTTTTTCTCCCTCGATAATTGGCCGCACTTAACGTTATTACCGCAGAATCATCGAATCGCGAGGGAAAGTTGAATACTACCATACAATTTTTTACTTCACACGATTATCTTTATTTCTGTTCTCCGTCCGCTTCGATATCAAAGCGTTTCAACCTTGGTTTTTTGCGTGTCCATCGAAGCAGGAATTTTGATTGCTCAGGGAACCCATGGATCATTCGATTCACTGAAACGTGATGGTTACTTTGCCCGGAGAAAGTCTGCAGATTCATTGCAGTTGATTATGCAAACTTCAGCGAACTGGTATAATAATAGTCCGAAAGGTTTATTCGAGATATTCGACTGAAGACATATCTCGTGTATTATTATAGCTTGTGGTTCGATTTTATAAGTGATAGTGGTATATTTTTGTTAGTAACTTGGAAGTTTATTGTTGTGGATGCTGAAGACATATTTTATTTATTATTTTATCTTTGTGAGGTGCAAGTTTGTTGTGGCTCAATTTAAGGTGCTGAAGATAATGTTATTGGGTACTATTATTTATGAGACGTGAATTTATACTCAGAAATGGATGCTGAAGAGTGAAGACATTAGGGATTTATATGATTGATGTAACTTGTATAACTCAAGCTTAGTTGTAACTGTATTTATTAATCAACCAAACCTAGGTATAGTTTTGATGAAAATTAGGTATGCTACTTAGGTACATTCTAGCGATGATGCTACTAAATTCTTGTATATCAAATAGTATCAACGCGTGAAATTAATAACGTGTGGAATTACAACGCGTGCAATTATGACGCGTGGAAGTACGACGCATAGAATTACGGTGCGTGAAATTACAGCGCGTAGAAGTACGGCGTATGGTATTGCAGTGCGGGGAATTAGGGCGCATGGAATTACAATGCGTGGAATTACAGCGCGTAGAAGTACGGCGCATGGTATTGCAGTGCGGTGAATTACGGCGCATGGAATTACAATGCGTGGAATTAATAACGCGCGGAACCATGACGCGTGGAATTACGACGCGTGGAATTATAACGCGTGGAATTACGATGCGTGGAATTACGATGCGTGAAACTACGACGCATGGTGTCATAAAATATTCCTTCTATAGCCAATCTCAGTTTTACAAAAAGGAGGTAATCACATCTGTTTACTATAAAATTAAAAAAAGTCCTTTCCACACAAATATATTAATTCACCCAAATATTATTTATGACTCTTCGCATGCGTTCTCGTATAAACACACGAAATTATATAACACACTGTGAAGAAGTATATAAACACCGCTTTATAAACAGGAAACAGAAAGGGATTTACAGGAAAAAGGAAGGATCTGGCAGTCAACTACTGTCAATCAATCTTCCCGACGACTGTTAGTTTACGCAAGCCAAGTTGTAAAAGCTTTCAGTAGTACACGAGGACACTTAACGAAATCGTTTACGTATTTGCGTACCGATCGAGCTATTTATGACCACTGAGAACCATTAATCTTAATACGAGCTGACGTTGTTGTTTTAACGTAAATATAAACGGCATGACTTGTGTATGCATACTAATACACAGTAACCATTATGCGAAGGTGAATCAGTTCGAGCTAACAAATCAGTTGAAAAACTGGTCGAGGCAAGTTTGTTATAAATCAATGGCTGATGAGGTGTAGGTAAAACAGGTGTGAATGATGCTGTGTGATAGACGGTTCTTAGATACCTGGTAATTTCTGTACTGTATTTAGTCGCTTTGGTGAGTAGACTGCTATTAATGTTAATAGTAGTATTTAATGGTAACTTTGTTAGAAAGGTTATATTTTCGACATTTTTTAATTTACAGGTTTGGACAGTAAGTTTGAACTGTAATTCCACGGGTCGTAGTTCCACGCGTGGTAATTCGACGCGTGGTAATTCGACGCGTGGTAATTCGACGCGTGGTAATTCGACGCGTGGTAATTCGACGCGTGGTAATTCGACGCGTGGTAATTCGATGCGTGGTAATTCGACGCGTGGTAATTCGACGCGTGGTAATTCAATCCGTGATAATTCGACGCGTGGTAATCCGATCCGTGGTAATTTGACGCGTTGTAATTCGACGCGTGGTAATTCGATGCGTAGTAATTCGACGCACTGTAATTCCACACACTGTAATTCCACGCACTGTAATTCTACGCGCTGTAATTCCACACACTGTAATTCCACGCACCGTAATTCCACGCGTTCTGTTACTTTTCCCAGTGGTAATTCGACGCGTGGTAACTCGACGCGTGGTAACTCGACGCGTGGTAATTCGACGCGTGGTAATTCGATCCGTGACAATTCGACGCGTGGTAATTCAACGCGTGGTAATTCGATCCGTGGTAATTCGACGCGTGGTAATTCGATGCGTAGTAATTCGACGCACTGTAATTCCACACACTGTAATTCCACGCACTGTAATTCTACGCGCTGTAATTCCACACACTGTAATTCCACGCACCGTAATTCCACGCGTTCTGTTACTTTTCCCACTGTGTAATTCAATTGTGGTATGCGTCGTGTGTCATAAGGAGCTAAGATATTTCTGTCAAATTAATAATATTGATCCTGTTAAATAATTTTACTAGTCACATAAAGTAACACTTATTAGTTTTTTGCAATTTATTGAGATTATTATGAGAAACTAATGCTCTATTTCCTCAACATCGAAAATCATTCAGATGTCGCCCGTTCTATTTATAATAAAATTCCCCGCGTCATCTGGTCTCTTTTTTTACAACCTCAACACGCGTTTTTGCGAGATTTTTTAACGGAGAAATCACCTCACGTTGAATTTCGCAGCCAAGAAGCACTCTACTAAATTTCGCAAGCGT